TATTTAAAAACACAGTTTCTGTAGCCAGTCTGAATGAGTACCTGTGATGAGGAAGTTCCCATGCTCCTCCAGAGCTTCGCTGTATTTGCGCACCACGTGGTTCAGCCCGAGGTCCAGCTCGTAGAAGGTCAGGGTCTGTTGGGTGTTGGCCGCTGCTTCGCCGGTGGGGTCGTTGTCCGCCTCCTATAGGGGGGGAAACCCTGTGCTTGTCATAGTGCCCGATCAGTGGCAGCACTGACAGCAGCATCGACAAGCTACGCGGTCAGTGTGTGACAGAGCTCAACAGGGGGCGCACAAACGCACAATGCCAGCCTTCCACGGATCTTCAAATCACTGTAATGCTCACACGCTAACATGCAAACAAAAAAAGCACATCTTTCAAAATACTTTGGAAAATCAACCACAAAAGTGAATTTCTAAAATAAAACCGCATAAATACACCAACGCAAAAGTAAACATGAGAAATGGGTTTTACTGTATTTTTTTTTTTTTAAAAAGTCATTTCCAATAAATTTACCTTGAGCAAGAACACTCAAAATGCAAGTAATCTGAGCCAAAACAGAGTTGGTTTCTGACAAAGAATTTCCTAAACCCGGGGGAAAAAAAAAACACTTTCCCAAGGAAGGTCATGGACTGAACTACAAACCAAGCAAATATCAAACGATTACTCAAACGTAAGGTCCATGGAAACAGAAAAATCACAAATAGTATGTTTACATGCACACTAAGAAAATCTCTGTTAGACTAAATCCGGACTTTTAAAAGTACATGTAAACATGTCGGTCCGACTGAAATCGTACCAAATGGAATTTCTTAGTCGGACTAAGATGCCCAAATAATGCGATTGGGACTCAATTTACTCCTGCGTGCATACGTTCATAGCGCAGGGAGTTTAAATCTCGCTAAAACAGTTTTACTCTGTCTTAGGGAAAAAAACCTCACAAGTTTGGCAATTTTAATAATTATTCATGTATCTCACTTCGATGTTAAATTATCCATCTCAGTGGATCTCACATTATTGACTAGATCTTGAACTAAAAACTAACTGGTTTTCTAACCAGTTAGTCAAAAAAATGTATATATGATAACCTTATACACCACAACAGGCTGATAAAAACACTGCACACCTGTAACAGGCAGTAAACAACACAAGGTCCACAGATGACTTGGCTTCAGTGTGTGCGGCATGGCTGATGAGGAGAAATTGGTTCCGAAAAAAGGTGGTTCTTTGATTTTTGTGGAAGTGGTTTGGATTTGCAAAATCTGATCTGGACCAAGCTATTGTAATTTGCAGGCTCTACAAAGATACCATCTGCAGTAAAGGCTGCAACACAATCAATCTGTTATTGTTTGGATTTGCTGGAGACGGAGTTCAGAAGTGCAGTTATGAACTGATAAAACGTTCATCTCTACTGTGGTATTAAAAATTAAAAGCACTTCTGCTATAATCAAACAGTTTATGTACAGATTATTATACGCCTTAGTAATTAGTAGGGGTGCACCGATCGATCGGCGCACCGATCGATCGGCCTCGATCACGTTAATTTGAGGGGATCAGAAATCGACCATATTCCCATGAGATCCACCGATCTTAGTTATATGCTTTTAACTCTTTGGGGTCGAGTATGTCGTCCCCAAATCTTAATGTATAATCATGAAAAAAACGCTGGCTAAATCCGTAATCTGTCTTCTTTTCAAAACGTCCATTGTCGGAAGTATTAAAGTTTTTTTATTAGGTTAAATCGGCAAAAACGTAAACCATGTCATCTTACTTTGTTTTACCTGCATCGGGGGCGTGTAGTACCGCTCTCACCCGAAGATCGCTATTCACATTCTAAATAGCCGCATTAGCGCGTATTCAAATCGCATTCGCATGGTAATTTGATTAACAGCGCAACGGTGAAACGCGATCCAGATACATCCCCTTCAGCGCCATAAAAGGGGGTTGGGGACGTGGCCAGGTGACAATGGCTCATTCATACACATGAAAGTTGCTACATATTCAATGAAAGGAGCCAGAAATAGTTACATGAGTTAGGTTTTTCTTATTTATTTATCCAAATTAATGTTGCATCTACACCATTTAGTCATCTTCATGTAGCCAAGACTTTGGTGATCAGATATCTGGGATCAAAACAAACTGCCAGCATTGCTTACTATGTACTTTTATAATGTTTCTGCAAGTGTTCCAAACTGCATTTTGCAATGTCTATACTTTGATGTCAAATTTCAAACTTAACAAAAATCTGACATATTTACAATATATATTAAAATAAAGATGAGTGTAATGGCAAAACAAATATATAAGAAATAATTTATTTGCCATGAATTAAGTGTGATGAAATGTGTGATCATGCCCCAGTCAGTGAAAGTGTGTTTCCTACCCCTAGGCCCCAGAGGGTTAAATCAGCCTTTTCTCCCATTCCCGAGAGAGGTGCAGTGCAGGCTGCCTCCCTCCCTATTTTTTGGACAAGTGTGTCATAACAGCTATATATATATATATATATTTTTTTTTACAAAATTAGAGAAATTAAAGTCTGGAAGAAAAAATATGATTTTGTAGTTCAAACAGCAATGCTCATTTATATGTTCATTTATATTTGAGGACACTACCTCATGTTTTGTGAGTATTCATATCAATTTACTCAATAAAAATGGAAACATTGAAGTAACTGTCTTTTAGTTATGAAAGAAACAAGATCGGCAAAAAAAAATCGAGATCGGCAGGTAAGGTTGCCTAAGGATCGGTGATCGTTGATCGGCCAGAAAACTGCAATCGGTGCACCCCTAGTAATTAGGTTTATTATAACCCTGGGGAACCCACAGGGTCATATATGACTCTTCCTTTTATTTCTGCCTTACATTCAACCCACTCATCAAAGTTAAGAATTATTTTTGTTTTACAGCCCATGTACCATATACGATCCAGTAACGGTGACATTTAGTGATTACTGACTGAATTAACCAGATTTTTTTCCACAATAAATATGGCCCCCAACACGTTTTGAGGTTGTTGCTGTACGTGCTGCAAAGATTCACCTGGCAAGCTGTGAATAGGTAAGTGGCAGAAATTTTGCATCATCAGTTATAATATTTAGATGTTATATAACATGTACAACTAGGTTTTGGATGTTTTTAAACTTTTCTGGCAACTGTGATCATGTTCCATGTGCTCAACATCAGCCTCAGACAGAAACAGAGGGAATACAGGTGGAGCAGCAGACCTTACAACCCACCACAGGTAAACTTTGTGTGTAGTTCACCTTTTTGCAGGTCTGTTCACTTGACCTGTTTCTTGATGGGTTGGCATGTTTGAAGCCTGTGTTTTATTGCCAGCACATGGTGAATGATGAAAAAACTCAATAAATGCATTTTGAAAATGAGAATGTTGCAAAGATTTGGTTTTTCTTTTCTGTCCTTATTTCATAGGTGAAATTAACAAGTTGGAACAGCATGAACAGTCCAGCCGGTCTTATATGGCACATTCATAACATGGACTGCGAAAGGGTCATTTTTACAAAACACCTGTTTTTTAGTTCACTGGGTCTGTATGATTATTTTAGCCAATGGACATATTTTTCCTATAATGATAAGGTGGTCTGGGATCCCCAGGGATGATGTTACAACGCCTTAAAAGGATAGAACAGCCGGTTAAGTGGTTAATTAGCCTCACTAAATATGTTCCAATTTGATCTATATTGAAATCTTAAGGTGGGTCGTGATTCTAAAGAAAAATTTCATATGACGTGACATTTGGCCCGTATCTCCCACTACTACAGCACGGTACTCCACGCACAGACACGAGAGTATGGCACGTACCTCGTAATCCATCTCCAAGCAGGCGAACATGGGGTTCTCAAAGCCCACGTCCACGCCTACTACATGGTACACCAGCGTGTTGGCCTTGTGCGCCTCCAGGGGGGATGAGATGGTGAGACGTGCAGCAGCATCGCGGTTCAGGATGTACACCAGCTTCTGCTTCTCGATGGCACCTTGGAGTCACAACACACGGAAAGCACGTCACACAGGAGGCCACGTCCTAATTCTCACACAAGGCTCCACTAGGGCTGCACAACATAACACTGCAATATGATGTATATAAAAAATTACACCGAATATGTACAGATCACTAACTTCAGGGCATCACAAAATGCCTCTCATTAATATTTTAGGTGCACTACTTATCTGCTGACCAAATCGTGCATGCAAGTAAAAGTCCGTATAGCACCGAAAAAAGGTGGCATCCAGACAAATATTTTCGCCTGTCACCTGAAGCCCTGATTATTGCACATTCACCATATTTCGCAGTCTTGGGCCACACAGCACAATTGTAGCAGGTGAGGGACATGAGGAAGAACATTAACACGGCAAAGCTCAACAGTTTTCAATAAACTCAGAAGACAAGAGATAAAAGGTTCTGCAGCAGTTCTACCTAAACGTTGACCCAGCTTTGCCCCAATTCAGCTCCCCCTTTTTCCACACTAAGCCAAACTTCCAGGGCCCCCTGCCCAAGCTCCCCCCCTGCCCCCCCCCCAGGAGGCATGCGTCTACTGACCAATCATAACTGCACGTCCTTTGGGGTCAACAGCAAGGAACTGGCCCGGAACGATTCGCCTGCATCCACTCTTCCCAAAGGTCTCCTGGTGCACCTTCTCAAACATGTTCTTGGAGGGCTGGTATTCCAGGATCACGATGCGCCCAGAGTCGCTACCCACCACGATGTAATCTGGAGACAGGAAGGTGATAAAATGCACAAGCTTGCTGACATCAACTACTGTACCAGACTTTTCCCACACATTTTTATATACAACTACTACTTATGCATATTTTAAAGAATTTTTAAAAAATATGAATAATCAAAAACACAACATCCTTTATTATTCACAATCAAAATCAAGAGTTCAACATTAAAACAGGTTTCACCAGTCGCAGACGGACACACCTTTGGTCCCACCGGTGAGTCGGAAGGCCATGAGGGAGCGGATGATGCCAAACACCTCCATGGTAAGTAGCGTGTGTACTTTCCCGGTGTTGGCGTCGGGTCGCAGCAGTTCCAGAATCTTCCCTCTGGAAACAACGATCTCCTGCTGCTTGGTCCCTTTACAGAAAGCAGAAGAGACAAAGAGTCAAGTATAATAATAGGTCAAACGATGGTCAATTATACAATTAAGGTCATAAAAGGTAAAACCAGAGCACCAGAACATACCAGAAAAATTGCCATGGATAGCATGGGTGATGCCAGTGGCACGCTGTAAGGTTATGTTGTACAGAAACATGTCTGTGGGTCTTTCACACTCCAAGCGCAGAGTAGGGAAGCAACGGCAGCTCCCCGAGAGTTAAACAGCTGAAAAGATGAGAGAAGAGAAATCTCCATCAAACCTGTACTCCTATCGCAAACAGGCAATTCAATCAATCATAATACTATAACTTGTGGAGCCACTGAAAATAGCTCGTTCGTGCGGCGTTTGGATTTCAGGTTGGTAACTACACGTAGTACAAAATCTGGCGCCTACACCGACCAGCTCATCATTGCGAGCAAACCTTCCAAATCAAAAAACACATAATTATGAATTTTACAGTAACAAAATTCTGCATTCAAACACTGGAGTAATTACGAATAGTAATCTTGCCGCATGCAAAATAGCCAAATTCTGCAAAGGAAAGCCGACCCTTACGAATCCCTGGAACTTAAAATCGCAAAGTAAACAAAGCTTATAAGTATAGTGGTTTAAGAACATACTAGTTCGCTTTCTACACAGAATCATTTCCACATAATTTTAACAAGCCGAGCAGATCTTTTTCATTTTGTAAAGCATGAAAAAGTTTGCGCAAGCAAGTCTTCCTGTTGTTTCATTCAAACATTAGCGTCTTCCGCCATCTGGCCGGTTATTTCAAATCTACAGATACAATTTTGCTGGGAAAAAATGCTGGAAGTGGACTCGATATAACATGGAAATTGCTTCTAAATAATTATTACTCACAGATAAATGCCGATGCAGAGGATATCAACTAGATTAAATCATCCTACGTTAGTAAAACGAACCTAGACGTTTCCAGGCAGGCTGCACTGTCGTGGGCCTTGGCGAGTAGTGCGCGTAACTGAAAGAAGTGGTATGAGGATAGGTTAAAGCCTGTCCGCCGTCAATGGTATTATCCTATCCACCCACTATACGAATCGTATCTTTTGGGGCTTTGTAGGTCTTCAGCTGCTTCGTCGCGTACATAGGTGTCCTACGTCGTGCCTTGTCAAATGTTTGATAAATTAAAGAAAATGATCCGTATGAATTAATCGACAAATAAATATCATTTATTAATTATGAATTAAATACGCTCTTCATATTAAGTTGACGAACACACTTCATATTCTAATTACTTACTTGAGATGTTACTCGATGGCTTCCGCACTGGTGTCGTTATCATGAAACCCTATGCAGGAGCTTGTGACGGAAGTGACGTGTCTTATGTTTGTATGGGTAAATATGTCGGAGTCTGTGGCGAAAAAGCGAAGCGGGTCGTCGGGCTTATCCGCCATAAGCCGCGAAACCATCGAAAACCTGACCGAGTTGGATGATTTGGAGCGAGTATACCAACAGCTCTGTGATGAAGAAGTGAGTATTCATAAAAATATAATGTAAAAGATGTGCGGTAGCTGTAAGTTCAGACAGTCAAGGGGTGTCTGTGTTCTGTATTTGCAACGGACATAGTTATTGAAATATAAATTTAGTTTTATTTCCATTTTATCTAGAAACAGGTGGAGTCCGAGCTTGAGTCGCTGGTCAGTCAACAGGGTAACATTGAGACCAAGATGCTTGCTCTGCAGAGGATGGGGTAAGTTGTTGTTTGTGAAGGTGGCAGGCAGTAGTAGTGATGGATTATGCAGCTAGCTGAGTTTTTGCTCACTTTCCTGCTCTTTCATAGTGGAGCACTGTTTGACTGTCCAGATTCCTTTTAGTTCACCTGATCTCCCACACGTCTTCACAAATGTGTCTCTCAGGCCTAACTTGCAACTGATAGAGGGTGATGCCAGCCAGCTTTCTGGAATGATCACCTTCACCTGCAGCCTGGCTGAGAACGTGAGCAGCAAAGTGCGGCAACTGGATCTTGCAAAGGTAATGTACCTGGACGTTCACACGTTGAGCATGAACACAGCACTATACAATAAATTTCAGCAGAAGGTAAAATGCTCACTGTTTCTGTTCCCCAACCCTGGTAGAACCGTCTGTATCAGGCCATCCAGCGCGCTGATGACATCCTGGATTTGAAGTTCTGCACGGATGGTGTGCAGACAGCGCTGTGGAATGAGGACTATGAGCAGGCGGCCGCACATGTGCACCGATACCTTTCCCTGGACCAGTCGGTCATTGAGCTGAGTCGCCAAGGGGGAGAGAGTGAGCCTTTAAATGCTTTTTTTTGTTGCATAAAACCTATGACAGGAGCCGAAAATCCCATAGAACAGTGTTTCTCAAACAAGTCCTTTGCAGCTGGGAGGGAGCAAAAATATCAGCTGTGTGTAGGTCCCCCAGGACTGGGATGCGAAAACAGCATCTTAGACAAACTATTTTGGCATCATTAGCTGCTGGAAGTAACTAATTTGGAGAAGCACTGAAAATAATGACATTTTTTTCCAGTTGCCAATACTTTATATCATCCATCCATCTTTCATAACAGCTTATCCAATACAGTTTCATTGTGTAAGATGCAGTGTTTATAATTCTGTAATTAATCAGTGTGTCTCCCATTCTCATGCTACATTTCTCATCAGGCAGTGCTGTGGACGCTAGTCTTGCTCTTCTCCAGGAAGCAGAGCAGCGCCTGAAGACCCTGGTCAAGGAACGTTTAGATCAGGCAATCACTGCAGGGGACCTGGCCCAGGTTGAGAGGTTCTTCAAGATCTTCCCTCTGTTGGGCCTCCATGATGAGGGGCTGGCCCGCTTTGCCCAGTACCTCTGCACACAGGTAGGTACCTGTCATTGTTAGAAAAACCATGGACTTGCATTTGTCTTTCTGGTTGTCTTCATGTGGAATGCTGTGCTCTGATGGGTGAGAGTTCATGATTTTGTCATCTCTCCACCTTCAGCTAGCCAGTAAAGCAGAGGAGAACCTGCTTCTGGCCTTAGGAGGAGACCTGGGTGAACGGAGAGCAGGGTTAATGTTTGCTGACACTCTCACTCTGCTGCTGGAAGGTAAGATGTTAGAGGAGAGTAGGCTTGTGTTGACCGTTGACACTGCTAATCATTCACAATGACACTGGTCATCTGTTGTGATTTTTTTTTTTTGCAGCCAATTAAACATGCCCTTGACTGCCCCTCTCTCCATGTGCACCAGGTATCGCACGGATCATAGAAACCCACCAGCCCATCGTAGAAACCTATTACGGACCGGGCCGCCTGTACACGCTGATCCGACACCTGCAGGTGGAGTGTGACCGGCAGGCTGAGAAGATCGTGGACAAGTTCATCCAGCAGCGAGACTATCACAACAAGGTGTGGCCTCAGCACATGTGAAAACGACACATCTAATCCTCAGAACCGACCCTGAAAGCCTGTGAGACTGAAAAAATCCTGTCACTCCTGCAGTTCCAGATTGTCCAGAACAGCATGATCAGAAGCATGTCTACTGAGAAGATCGAGCCCAGGTCAGAGTGCCACCCTGTCCTTCATTAATCCTCACTTCTGGCGGCTGTCAGCTTTGCACCCCCCCTCCCCCCAATCACTGGTTCCCTGCCCTTCATTTTTGCACACGTCTCTCCAGGGAGCTGGACCCCGTCTTGCTGGAGGTCACGGTGATGAACTCCCGGGCTGAACTGTACCTGCGCTTTCTGCGGCGACGGATCTCAGCCGACTTCGAGGTCGGGGACGCCACCGCGCCCAAGAGTACCATGCAAGGTAACGGGGCGAGGTGGCGTGTGACGGGCCCTGGCGTGGCCCGCTGGCCCGGCGCTCACGGTGTTCCTCTCACTGCTTGGCCCAGAGCACCAGCAGGGCCTGGAGAAGCTGCTGAAGCACTGCCTGCTGAGCCGGAACATGCAGGAGCTGATTGGATACTACATCCCCATGGAGGAGTACTACATGAGGGAGACTGTCAACAAGGTAGCGCCCCCTGGCGGCAGCGCCGGACACTGGGCAGACGATAGGAGGCGTCATCAGCAATTAAGTGTTTTGATGGTGCAAAACACTGCAGTTATTTGTCATCTCCCCATATAAGGATACATGTGCACAAACGTGTACCATGTCACATGACCACCGTGAAACATTGTTTCTCTGAAACCAATTTGTGATCAAATATGTGATGACAAGTTTTAGCTGAAAGAAAGTCAGGGATTGATAAAACCAGGGCTGGTTCACAGGGAGTTTGTGGCATAGAATTATTAGGTAATAGATTGCTAGATATTAGGGCTTTACAGTCAGGAGGAAGAACACAGCAGAATCCCATCCTGACTCATGGGGTACATTCAGAACGTCAATCAGCAGCCAAAAAGCAAAAGGTTAAAGCCGACCTGCTACACGTCTAGTTATTTGGGTTCCACTTTCATCAAGACCACCACCCCCCCGGTGAAAAAATGTAGACTGCTGATCATGAACTGGGAAGGAGCAAAAACGTGGCCCATCTGGGGGTCTCTGAGGACCTGGCTGACAAGGCTAATCTAAACCCATTAATACTGGCAGACATTTTACTTAATCACAGCGCCCCCTACTGGCCTGGCGTCTGTCTGCCTTGAGCTTGCTGAGGGGGAAGGTCGAGATGAGCATATGGGCTGCTGTTAATGGGGCGAATCTCTTACCTGAGTCTGCACTTATTCTTTCCTACAGCATTTACCCCATTTGAGTGACATAAAGCTTAACAATGAATTAATTTCACTTCATTTATAATTCATATTCCTTTTTAACCTTCTGCAAAATTCAGGCCAGAGTTTTGAGCCGTGCGCGAGAAATGTCAGTCTCAAAACTGGCGGCACTGGACAACACATATAGTGTATAGAGGTACTGCTCTCCCCATGAACGGGAACACTGGGGGAAGCAGACAGAGCAGAGAAAACCCTAGAAGGATCTGGAATTTTTTTCTCTACTCTGCTTCTAAGCCCCCATTTCTGCTCAGTAATTCAGTGCAGCTCCACGCCGGCCACACCCCTGTTCCTCGCTCTGCAGGCCGTTGCCATGGACACGTACGAGAAGGGTCAGCTGACCTCCAGCATGGTGGATGACAGTTTCTACATCGTGAAGAAGTGCATCAGCAGAGCCCTGTCCAGCTCCAGCATTGACTGTCTGTGCGCCATGATCAACCACGCCACCTCCGTGCTGGAGACGGACTTCAGGTACGCCGCCCCGCTGCGCTCCTCTGCCTCCTCTCCAAAGCCCGCCGCCGCCGGCTCTAATGCACCTCCTTCCTTGCAGGGAGGTTCTGTACAACAAGCTGCGGCAGGGCTTCCCCGCCACCACCCTGCAGGACATCCAGCGCGGCGTGAGCAGCGCCGTCAGCCTCATGCACAGCAGCCTGCAGCAGGGCAAGTTCAACACGCTGGGCATCGAGAGCGCTGAAGATGCGAAGGCCTCCTTCCTGGTGGGCGCCTGCAGACCCCCGGCTCCGCAGCTCACCCTTAACCACATCCTCCTTTTTACTGCCCATTAAACAGATATTCTGAATATACCTGCCTTTCCCCACAGCGCTGTTGAAGTCTCAAGTCTTGATAAATTTTCTATAACCAGCCATTGCTGTATTATAATCTTAAATTCTAACTAATGTTACTTTAAATTCCAGACATAGAACAAAATTAAAAATTTAACAGAAACTATAAAAACATAGTAGTTCTATGATAAATGCTTTTTTGGCTTGTAAACATAGAACTAATGTCTGTAGGTACAAACCTGCAAGCCAGACGTGTTGTGACTGTCGAATGAGCGGGTTGATGCACGCGTGCTGTGCAGTATGCATGCGGCTCAGCGGGCCCAGCCTCTGTGCCTGTGACCGGAAGGTCGCCGGTTCGAACCCTGGCAGAATGGTCACATGTCCATGGACCCTTGAGCAAGGTCCTTAGCCCCCAGCTCCGCTGCCCCTGCTCTGTGACTCCCAAGCTTGCTCTTAACTGCATTTGCGTCTCACGGAGAGCAAGATGGAGTAAAGTGAAAAGAATTTGCCCACTGGGATTAATAAAGTATCACTATTATATTAAATGCACTCTGCAGCATGCGTTTTAAAACAAGCACAGCTTGTTGT